AAACAAATAAATCTACAATCAATAAATGAAGAAAATAATTCCTTAACGTCCCAGAGACAGCAGACAATATCAAAATATAACAATATAAAAAAAAAGGACAGAGTGGCTCCACAAAGTGACCAAAATAAAACACTACATGACCTTTCAGTAGAAGAAAAGGCACTGAAACTACCAGATACGGAGTTCAAAACTCTAATATTCAGGGCTCCCCGATTGATGAAGGAAAATGCAGACAAAAATAAGGAAAAATGGACAAAATCACGGAAAATACAGACAAAATCAGAGACAAATCAATGAAAGAATTCAGGAAAATGATACAGGAACAAAATGTCGAAATAAATAAACAACCAGGTATCATACAAAAACAGCAATTAGAAATTCAAAGGATAAACAACAAAATTTCAAAAATTGACAGTGCAATAGAAGATTTTAGGAGCAAATTTGCAACAGTAGAAGACAGGATCAGTGAAATTGAGGACAAAACCTTGGATACCACTTTGAGGAAAAATCAGAGGAAAGAATGAAGAAAAATGAAGAAACCTGAGAAGGATATGGGATACAGTCAAACCAAAAATTTGCATGTGATTGGAGTTCCAGAACTGGGGGAGAAAACGGAAAACACAGAGAGGATCATTGAAGATGTGCTGACAGAAAACTTCCCTAATATTATGAAAGATGAAAAGCCAACCATCCAAGAAGCTCAATGAACCCCATATAGGGTAGACCCCAAAAGAACATCACCAAGACATATCATAATCACTCACTAAAACCAAAGACCAAGAAGGAATTCTGAGAGCAGCTCGAGAAAAACAAAAAGTCACATACAAAGGGGAAACAATGAGACTAAGCTCTGACTACTTGGCAGAAACCACACAGGCATCTAAGATACTTCACTGTTCCCACTCCACCTGGAGCAAGGGAGAATGAAGAAAACCAAACACACAAGGGAAATATTAGTCCAAAGGACTAATGGACCACAACTACCACAGCCTCCACCAGACTAAATCCAGCACAACTAGATGGTGCCTGGCTACCACCACTGAGTGCTCTGACAGGGATCACAATAGAGAAAAATGTAGAACAATATTCTAAGTCACAAAAAAAGACCAGACTTCCTGGTCTGACAGACATTGGAGAAACCCCAAGAGTAAGATCCCCAGACATCCTTTTAGCTCAGTAATGAAGTCAATCCTAGGTTCACCCCTCAGACAGAGATTAGACAGGCCCATAAAACAAAAGGAGACTAAATAGGCACACCAGCCCAGGGGCAAGGACAAGAAGGCAGGAGGGGACAGGAAAGCTGGTAATGGGGAACCCAAGGTCGTGGAGAGTGTTGAAATGTCATGTAGTTGGCAACTAATGTCACAAAACATTATGTGGATTAATTGTTTAATGACAAACTAATTTGCTCTGTAAACATTCATCTAAAGTACAATAAAAAATTAAAAAAAAGGTCACAGCCTTGAACACCCTATGAAGCGCATTTCTACTCTGCAGTTCATATGGTTTCCATGAGTTGGAATCAACTTGATGGCAACTAGTCTGTCTTTGAGCTGAGAGAGTGGCAGTCATGACAGTGGGAAAGAGGCAGCTGTGAGAAATGCTTAGAAGGTAAAATTGGCAAGAGCGGGAGGTTGATTGGATGGGTAATGTGATGAGAAGGAAAGAATCAAGTGAAAGGGATATTGGTGGGTGCCACCAGTTTCGAGGGGAAAAAACAAGGAGGTGATGATGTGGAGGAAAAGGCAATAAGCCAGTATAGGATATGCCAAGCCTGATGCTCCAACGGCATGTACACGTACACAGTTCAGGAGGCTTCTAGTTCAGTGGTTCTCAAAGCACGGTAGAGTTCGTCAGAGTCACCTGCAGGGCTTGTTAAAACTAATCGCCAGACCCCACACTGTGCCTGGTGGTGCAGTGGTTAAGCACTTGACCCTGCCAGCCGCTACGCGGGAGAAAGATGTGGCAGTCTGACAGTCTTGGAAACCCTTGTGGTCATCATCAGGTGCTGTCGAGTCAGTTCCGACTCATAGTGATCCTATGTACAACAGAAACAAACACTGTTTATCTGACATCAGCAATGGTATCCCTCGTTCCATGTCCTCTTCTGAATCCGGCTTGAACTTCTGGCAGCTCCCTGTAGATGTACAGCTGCAGCCACTTTTGAATGATCTTCAGCAAAATTTTATTTGCATGTGATATGAATGATACTGTTCAATAATTTATGCATTTGGTGGGATCACCTGTCTTGGGAATAGGCATAAATATGGATCTCTTCCAGTCTGTTGTCTTCTAGTAGCTGTCCTCCAAATTTCTTGGCATAGGCAAGTGAGCACTTCTAACACTGCATCCGTTTGTTGAAACATCTCAGTTTGTATTCTGTCAATCTCTGGAGACTTTTCACCAAAATCTTCAGTGCAGCTTGGACCTCTTCTTTCAGTACCATCTGTTCCTGATCATACGCTACCTCCTGAAATGGCTGAACGTTGACCAATTATTTTTGGTATAGTGACTCTGTATATTCCTTCCATCTTCTTTTGATGCTTCCTGTGTCGTTTAATATTTTCCCCATAGAATTCTTCAAAATTGCAACTCGAGGCTTGCACTTTTTCTTCAGTTGTTGCAGCTTGAGAAATGCCAAGCGTGTTCTTCTCTTTTGGTTTTCTAACTCCAGGTCTTTGCACATGTCATTATAATACTTTATTTTGTCTTCTCGAGCTGCCCTTTGAAATCTTCTGTTCAGCTCTTTTACTTCATCATTTCTTCCATTTGCTTTAGCTACTCGACGTTCAAGAGCAAGTTTCAGAGTCTCCCTGACATCCATTTTTGTCTTTCCTTTTTAACAACCTCTTGCTTTCTTCGTATATGATGTCCTTGATGTCATTCCACAACTCGTCTGGTCTTCAGTCATTAGTGTTCAGCCCATCAACTCTATTCTTGAGATGGTCTCTAAATTCAGGTGGGATATACTCAAGGCTGTATTTTGGCTCTCATGGACTTGTTATAATTTTCTTTAGCTTCAACTTGAACTCGATTATGGGCAATTGATGGTCTGTTCCGCAGTCGGCCCCTGGCCTTGTTCTGACTGATGATACTGAGCTTCTCCATCTTATGAACTAGGGCAGTTCTATTCTGTCCTATAGGGTCACTATGAGTCAGAATCAACTCGACGCTAATGGGTAGGGTGAAGTACAAAATGTGCATTTCTACCAAGTTTCCACCCAGTTGATGCTGATGCTACTCGTCTGGGAACCACACTTTTAGATCGATTATTACTGGAGGTAAACAACTCTGAAGCTCAGGGAGAAGTCAGGGCTGAGGACATACAGCTGTGAGTCATCAGAGTTTGAAGGTGGCAAAAACCTGGTGGCTGAGATGGCAACAAATACCAGTGTGCACTTGAAGGGGTTGGGGTTAAACAATGTTCCCAGGCCCCAAACCTTTGTGTGGTGATGTGCATAAGCTTTCTTCTTTTATCTAGCCAATAAAAGAATTCTAAAGGTGGTACAAATGAAGAACAGACTTTTTAATGTTTAATTAGTGATGGGAGATTTTTTCCTCAAATCCGGTATTGTGCACAGCACTTATTCAAGATGGTAGCATTGGGTGTAAATAAACATTATTTGTGAAATAAATGACTCTGTCTCTCACTAGTTAAGTTACCCTGGGCACAGGTTAAGGAGCCTTGGTGGTACAGTGGTTAAGCACGCAGCTGCTAACCAAAAGGTCGATGGTTCGAACCCACTAGCTACTCTGCAGGAGAAAGATGTGGCAGTCTGCTTACATAAAGATTATCGCCTTGGAAACCCTATGAGCAGTTCTACTCTGTCCTAGATGGTCACTATGAGTTGGAATCGACTAGATGTCACGGAGTTGGTTTTTGATTTGGGGCACAGGCTATTTAAACTCTGACTTGAATTTATCTTTGGTTAGTTAGCACTAACCATATGATCATGCTTTTGAACTGTAAAGCCCTATTCCAATTCTAACATGCTAGCTGAATGGTGTGGGCATTTCTGAGGTTTCACTCTTCACACATCCAAAATGTCCCACTCCCTACAAGCTTACCAATTTCTCTCTCATTGTCCTTTCCACCTAGAACACATTACATGCCACATGTACAGCGATAACCCCTTCCCTTCCTCCAGATGTATTAAAAATAATTCCTTAAGTTCTGGGAAGCTTTGCCTGAGTAGATCAATTTGTAACTAGAACTCATTTCTCACAATAGGAGTTCCTGGGTGGTGCAAATGATTCATGCGCTCAGCTGTTAACTGAAAGGTTAGAGGTTCAAACCCACCCAGAGATGCCGCGAAAGAAAGGCCTGGTGATCTACTTTCAAAAAATCAGCCATTGAAAACCCTATGAATCACAGTTCTAGTCTGAGACACATGAGGTCACTGTAAGCTGGAATCAACTAGATGGCACCTGGTTTTTTCCCCCACAATAACAGTCAACCATTATCTCCAGAAAAGGGAACACGCAAAGTAGTTTTTGAAAAGAGAATAAAAATGTGACTGTCTTGTCTCCTTAGCAAGGATTATCTTAAGTTCTGCCCAGTTAATACAGTGAAATCTGTAAGAGCAGGAACTCGACTGCCCTATTCTTCCGGGTCTCGCAAGTTTTCCGCCTTTGACAGGGTCTTACCACTTTTCTATCGCTATTAGTGGAATGTATTTTGAGTTTTCCTTCTCTGACAGGTTTCTACCTTACAACGGTTCTGGCTTTTGCAAGCTTCACTGTATATGATTTTCATGGGGAACTTTGGTAATGATGATGATGATGATGATGATGGCAGTGATGATGAACTGAGTAGACAGCAGACAAATTTCTCCCTCTTCCCAGTTTTATCCCAGACTATGGTTTCACCTTCTTCTTCAAACCAACTCTTTCTTCTGCATTCCAGAAGAATCAGGCAAACGTGTCCCACCTCCCAGAGTCCAGCCCTCCTGACCACACTGCAGGTCCCAAGTACCCCTAGGTCTCAGCTTATAACCTACCAGCCAGCGGTGAATTCTACGTGGGCATCGAAGAAGCCAGTGACCTGGCCCGTGGCCGCCTTCCAGCCCTCAATGCGAGCCCGGATCAGGCCCTCCCTCTTCTGATTACGCACCACCTTCACCAGCCCGGGGTAGCGTTTGTGGACGTACTCCTCCAAGGGGGCCTTCAGCTCCTCTGCAAATGACAAAACACAAGAAGGTCCCATAAACATGTCAGGTTACGTTTGCATCCAACTTGCTGTGATGCCTGCAGATTTGCAGGAAGTGCAGAGATTACGGAAGAGTTTGCACGTTCGTGATTTTAGGGGAGGAGTTCCTGGGTGGCGCAAATGGTTAACGTGCTTGGATGCTAACCAAACATTTGGCGGTTTGAACCCACCTAGAGGTGTCTCGGAAGACAGGCCTGACAATCTGCTTCCAAAAACATCATAGCCTAGAGAAAAAGCTCTATGGTGCAGTTCTACTCTGCACTCATGGGGTCACATGGGGTCACCATGAGTTGGAATCAACTCGACAGTAACTAACAACAACAATTTTAGGAGAAAACACAAGCCAGTGTGATAGTCAGAAGACTTCTCAGACATACATACACACTCAGATCAACAACATTCTTACGGTGGACAACGTATGTGGCTGGCTCTACACCCCACTGCTGCAGGCGGGAAGGTGCCCTTCGAGATGCTTTTTCTTTGTGGTCCTTTCTGCTTCACAGGCCAACATCTCTGTCATCCCTCTACCCCGGTCCTGTTTGTCAACTTCTGTAAAGGCTTCCCCCCTGCATGTACAGTGGTTCTTATGAGTCGTGCGTGGCCCAGGCCCATAGCTATGCATCAAGTGTAAAGGCCACAGGCTGTGCTGGTCTTAGGGTGCGAAATACATCTTTGTCCGGGAGCAGAAATGCCACCGTGGCACAGAAGTCGTGCAACCAGGGGTTGAACACTCCTCCTTCCGTGACAAGCAGGTGGCAAGTGCTCTGTTTCTAGGATCTAACGTAATCCTTACAGCAACCCTAGGCGGTTGCTAGATTAATCCCATTAATTAACTAGATGAGTTCCATTTTGCAGATTAAGAAACAATCTTAGAGAGGCTAACCTGTCCCAAGGTCATACACCTAGTAATGGCAGAGCTGAAATGCAGCCCAAATTTGTGTCTTAGTTGATATCTTTGTGTGTATAGAAATCATCAGGTGTAGGGAGGGCAAGGGAGGGCCTAACAGATCTATGCAGACTTCAAGGAGCCTTGTCCTGCAGGTCACTAATAGGGTCTAAGAGCAGCCCAGGCGACTGATTCTGAGGCAAGCAGTGCAGAAGAGATCCTTTAGAAAACATCATTAACTTGACTTTGCTCTAGAGAAACCTAAAAAGGGTGTGTGACCAGAAATTGTTTAGATCCCTCACTTCCCAGTTACACAGGGCAGCTTTTGGCAGATTAAAGCCATCTATTTGCAACATAATCTAGAACCTCATTGCTTTGGGTCATGGCCATTGCCCCTGGGAATGGATGCGGCCAAGTGACCCAGGAAGAAACAGAGGGTGGGGTGTCTAGGTGGATGGGGGTGAGAGTCCCGAGGGGCACAGAGACCTGTCAGCCAAAAGGCATGGATGGTAGGGAAGCAGCAGGTTGGCTGCAAGATGTTATCATCTTCAAGGAGGAAAAAATGGACCCTTGGGGAAGGGGAGTGGAGAAGGAAAGGACCCTCTAACCCCCATGAGGTAAAGCATGTGGTTAGGGGTGTAGGCTGGAGTCAGACGGCATGGGCTGAGGTCTCAGCACTACCATTTACTAGCTGAGTGACCCTGGACAAGTTAGCCAATCAATTTGTAACTCAATTTCCTCACCTTACAGACCAGTTGCCATCAAGTAGATTCCAACTCATGACAACCCCATGTGTGTCACAGTAGAACTGTGCTCCACAGGATTTTCAATGGCTGATTTTTCAGAAGTAGATCACCAGGCCTTTCTTCCAAGGCACGTCTGGTGGGGTTTAGAACCTCCAAACTTTTGGTTAGCAGCCAAGCATGTTAACTGTTTGCACAGGGACCCCCATCTACAGAAGAGGGACAATAATAACAGTATAGGGTTATTGCAAGGATTAAATGAGTTAATATCTAGAGACTGCCTAGCATTATCCCTGGCAGAGTGTAAGCACTCAGCGTTAGGCAGCTGGTATCAGTAATCACTGTTCCTCTTTCCCTCTATGTGGGCTTGGAGCACCTGAACAGAAGATTTCAGAGCAACCAGGAGCCTGAGGAAGCCATGTCTGAGATAGGAAAAATAGGTCTGTAATGACTATAAGCTGGAAATATGCTTCTCAAATTTGAGGGTGCATCGGCACCCACTGGAGGTGCTGAAGCAGACTGCCAGGGCCACCCCACGATTTCATTTTCAGATGCATTTGAATTGTAATGTTGGCAAAGAATATGGAATATACTGTGGGCTGCCAGAAGAACAAACAGATCAGTCTTAGAAGAAACACAGCCGGAATTTTCTTTAGAAGTGAAGGTGGCAAGACTTTGGCTCCCTGACTTTGGACACATCATCAGATGTGTCTTAGATACCAATCACTAGAAAAGGACATCATGGTGAGCCAAGTGGAGGGTCGGCAAAGGGGAGGGAGGCCTTCTATGAGATGGACTGACAAAGTGGCTGAAACAATGGACTTAAACATAGCAATAATCATAAAGATGGCACAGGACCAGGTGATGTTTCTTTTTGTTATGTGTAAGGTCACTATGAGTTGGAGCCAACTCAATGGAAATTAAAACAACAAAAGGGTGGGTCCAAGTATTTGCATTTCTAAAAAGACCCAGGGGTGCCATGCTCTAGGATGGGGAGCCATGGAGCTAGAAAACGCATAGGCCATCCTTCGCACATGCTTGGCAAACAGTAAGCCCTCATAAGCATTATCTATTGTTGGTGTTTTTGCTGGTGTCATCATCATCTTTGCCATCATCCCAGAGTTGATGAGGGGGCCGATGGAGACGGCAGGCTGTGAAGACTCTCTGTTTCTTCAGTCACCAGGAGCAGCGCAAGGATGACCAAGCAGTTGGGACTGAAGGGGTCCCAAGAACTTCCAGATGCCACGTACTGACTTAGTGTTTGCTGGGTTTCTCTGCAGGTTAAGTAAATTTTGGGAGCAAGAATGCTAGCAAAAAGGTTGGAGCAGCCACGCCTACTTGGGTTTTCATTTATTCTTACGACTGTTGGGTGTGCAGGCGGGGGAGGGACGGGCATTCCATTGAAGGCAATGGACCACAGAACAGGCAGAGCACCCACAGAATGGTCTGATGGGAATCCTACCCACTTGCTAGGGTCGGCCCCTGATGGCAGGGATCTATGTAAGTTTAGGGTGCACACTCTGAGTGATGAGGGCTGGACAGCATGCCAGGGGATCAGCAGGCATGGCTAACTCCTAGCTGCCAGGCAACCTAGGACCTAGCTCTGGCTCAGTCCAGCAGCCAGATATCAGCTCCTGGCCATGTCAGTCACCATGGCTGAGTGCCATGTGGTTTCTCATTTGTGAAGTGGTTGTGATAGAGGCTGCAGGGGAACGAAGGGGTAGGAGTTTCGGAGGTTGGATAAAAATACTGTGGCTCACTACCATTGCCCTTCCCACGTCTCAAGGCTACTGAGTTACGGATGTGAAAAGTCAAAAGGGATGAGAAGATAATGCCTACTCACTTGGTTCTAGCTCATGGCTGTTAAGCGCAAAACATACACTATACATAAAGCCCTTAATATGCTTTCAATAAAAGTTATTTCTAATAATAATCAGTCTCTTACTATTATTAATATGGAAGTTATTATAGAACAACTTCTACAAACAATAGTTTGCCCTTCTATCTACCCAGTATCTTTTAAAGTCCATGTCGCAATGTATAGGGATAAGCAACATTCTTACTCTTACAAGGATCAGGGACATGTTGTTCCAAACACAACTGGAGTGACAGCCTATGGGCTTTCTGGGAACACTGAGGGAGATGCCACCACCCAATTAGCAGGGTTCACAAACAAGTGACACTGAGCAGACTTCTCTTCTCATTGTGTGATTCTGAACTCCATCAGGTGTTGGGTTGTGCTCCTGCCTGGATTCATCAACAATTCAGACACAAGCACTTTCTCTCTCTCAAGATGCCTACCATCTCATTAAGTAGGTGAGGCATGTTCAACAGTGGAAATATTACAAGGTACATGGAGCTAACTGCAGAAGAGAAGTAAAGGGAAAGTGCTATGGGGAGTCTTGGAAGGAAAAAATAATTTTTGCTGGGGGTGCTCATGGGGAAGGTAGCATTTGAGTTAAGTAGAAGGTTTTGGATGTGTGTTCTCACTACGCCAGAATACATAAGCATGAAGCAAACACAAAACTGGATCCACTTGGAGAGCAGGTGATAAAATCACTAGTGTCAAAGTTTAAGTCTGGGCAACTGGGAAGATGCTATTAACTGAAATGCAGACAAAGAAGAGCTGAGGAAGAACAAGCAGATGCCTTCACTTGGGGACAGGCTGGGTTGAGGTGCTAGCAGACATCCAAGATAGACAGCCGAACAAAGACAATGGCCCAGAGGTAAGAAGGGCGCCAGGTATCAGGGCAGAGTGGTGAGAGGTGATGACATACGAGAGAGTGGTTGTTCCAGGAGACAGGGTGAAGAATACTCAGAACGACACTTTGGAAAACATCCACGTTAAGGGGGCAGGAAGAAGAGCTAGAGAACAAGATTGGGTAGAAACAGCATCATAGGGACATCATCATATAAAGGGCAGAGTTTCCAAAGGGAGGATATGTACATTCATTTCATAAATCTTTATTGGGACAGACTTCATCTTGCTTACTTTGGACACACCATCAAGAAAGAACAATCGTTAAAAAAGGACAACATGTTTAGCAAAGTATAGGGCCAGCAAAAATGAAGGAACCCACCATAAAATGAACTGACACTGGCTGCAACAATGGGCTCCAACATACCCAAGATTGTGAGGATGGCGCAGGACCGGGCAATGTTTTGTTCTGTTATACATAAGGTCACCGTGAGTTGGAGTCGACTTGATGGCAATTAACAACAACAACAGGGATGAAAATGATCCTGTCCTCAAAGAGCTAATCGACATCCAATGTCAGGAGAGTCAAATGCACTAGAGGAACGAGAGCTGAGGATGAGCCATGGGTATAGACAACCA